ATCGAGGCTTGCCGAGGACGCTCGCCGCATCCTCCCCGTTCCCTCAATGGCTCAACTCTTGGGTTGCTTTGCAGTCCGGTCCAGTCTGCCATGCCATATTATGAGCTGCACTCTACTACGCAAGCTCTACTATCCTATTCTCCAGTCGATGATAGGAACCTATGGCCCGATCATCCACACAAGCCCACCTGAGATTGTCCGTGCCCGAATGCCCTGCTAGCTGATAGCTCTTGAAATCGGTGTCAGATAGTCACTACACTAGACTATAGTATGTATCATATCATATAGTGCAGACATACATGTAGACGGTATAGCAACGCGTTCTGCCGTATATATAGTCCAGCAAGCCCGAATGTATCCTCAATTCGCAGGAATGTGCGTCAGGCTGTCAGTTTCTTCTTCCTCCGCCCGGTGCAATTTCCCCCCATGATAAGACACTATACAGCAATGAATGCATTTTCCTATTAGGGACTGAGTGGGGAGGTTCATGACTAGAGGGATTGCGAATCGGGCAACGATATCAAAGTGCAGTGGCTTGAGTCGGCAGGTGAGGGAGCTGTCTGGGGACACTCGAAGTGAAGCGACTAGCATGGCGAACAGATTGGAGATGACATGATGTTTCGACGCATTTTCTGTGGCATGCGGAGCATACAGCAGAGTACTCCCAAACCGTTTCGATAGGTTTCGTCTACTGTTTGGGCTGAGCAGACAACATTGAGAATTATGTAGTTAAACTGCATTGATGTTGTCGGGAATCAAGGCGTCGCTCCACCTTAGGAACTGAGCTGAAAACGAGCATGTGGTACGTGCTACTCAGCCAGCTGCCACCTTTTGTTTCTGATGTCCAGGCAGCGGAGAGAAGTTCACGGACGAGTCGTTCAACCCCTTGACGGAGGATTATTCAATTCATTCAGCTGTAGCTGTGTAGACGGTTGCTGTTGCCACGTGCCTGTGTCCGATTGTGTTTGGGGTGTGCAGCTGCGAGCGGATGGTTTGACAAAACGTGAGACAGACGCGAAGTACTGCGGTCGGCTTCTGACTCATGGTAGAATAAAGGGCCGGAAGAAGTTCCTGCGTCTTCGTCCTGCATATGACCTGCTCTTGCAAGAACTTGACACGAGAAGCCTTTTCAGGCTTCCTGCCCTCGTCGTTCGAGAAGCAGCGGAACATGTGGTCAGCCATTGAAGCAGTACGATACAAGCAAAAGCAGTGTACGGCGACATACTACCGTATGCTAGATCGTCATGAAACAGTTGAAGCCCTGCATTGCTTGATCAAGGTTCACATGCCGGTTTACTTCTTCCCGTCTATCAAAATGGTTCCATGTTTGTGGAATCCAAAGTGCAGTACTCACCGCAACATATATAGTACACCACTACGGTTCCTTTCCAAGGTCCTTCTGCATGGGATCCAACAGGTTCCCAATCGGACAAAACTAAGCTAGAGTTTGCGAAGCGACCTAACCGATACTCGTTTGGATAACAAATATTCGAGTAACTTGTAGGCAACGGAGTCAAGATTGGAGGCTTCAGGCTTCTGGGTCCCTTGTTGCAGCCCAAACCCCGAACCTCCCAAACTTGACACATGCTTATTTCAGAGGAAGGCGCAAAGAATGTGATGTGGGTGGACAAAGAAGGCCCAGGCAAGTGCCAGCGCTTTGGGTGACACGTTCTCGGGTTCACAGTCAAGTTGTCAATGGCGCACCACAGTTTGCAACAAGGCAAAGTTCCATAGTATAACAAGGCAAAGTTCGATAGTGTGCAGTATGGTATACTCTACGTATAGTGTACTTTGCTATGTTGCAGTGTACCCTACGCATGTATCTATTGTTGACGTCCCATGTGTGTTTGCCCGGGCATTTAAACTTGTGCTGCCTTGAACCTAATGTCTCATATACTCCGACGACGCGCACTCACAGTAGACTAGCTCTTGCAGGATACAGTGTACTTCCCTTGTGCCCTACACACTTAGTGTGCTGCATGGCTACGAGATACTGAGCTTTTATATCTCGAGTACTAGTCAGTGTATTGTGCGGCATAGAGCCTTGGTCTTGGCGACTCCTCCTGAACAACATACTGCAAGCTGCCTGTCACCCCTCCACAAGCGTGGTAGGCACAACTGGTGCAAGTTGTTGCTCGTAAGCTGCATAAAATCCGAGCACAGTGCATGGCGCTAGCTTCAGAGAAGTAGACTGCAATCAAATATCCGAAGCATATTCCACAACTGTACCCAGCTGAGGACCTAGCGTCGCACTCTATTGCACTCTATACCAATTCCGCCTAGGCCTGACGACTGATGCTGAGCCAAGCTGAAGTCTCAGGCGAGCGTTTGTGGGTCAACAGCACAAGCTGACCCAGTAAACCATAAATCCTACGCCCCAACCCGAATCCCTCAACATGACGTACCAGGCCTTCACTTCTACACCGCTACGTTGCAACGTTTAAAGTTTAACGCCGTAGCACCTCCTATCCTGCAAGTTTAAAGTTTCTGGAGCAGTGTTCTGAGTCCAGGCTACAGCAAGAGCGGCAGGACAACTAAGCCGCCTAAGAGATGGCTGCGTGCCAAGGACGGTCTGCTTGGAAGGGGTGGTGTTTTGTTGTGTGTGCGTGTGTGCGTGTGTCTGTGTCTGTCTCTGTCTCCGTCTCGCTCTCTCTCTCTCTCTCTCTCTCTCTCTCTCTCTGTCTGTCTGTCTCTGCGTGTGTGTTTGTGCGTGTGCGCATGGGCGGATGAAATACTAATTCAAGCAGCCAAGGCATGAGGCGCAAGACATCTCACAAAAAAGACACACTTTCATGGTGATGATTGCTGTTTAGACCAAGTCGATTCTGAAAACGGCCGCCAGAGTAGCATCAGCACTTTAGGCAGTTTCGACATGTTTGATCATACCTTCTGTCATCGTAGTACGTCAGCTGGCCTGTGACGCTGGCGACTCGCCAGGGCTTCCCACCCCTTGGCCTCTCTACCTGCACAGTACATGGTTCTATATGCATATCATACATAAGCATATATACATATACATGTATATGCATGTAGGGGTATGTAGGTATGCCCCCAAGAATTGGCAACGAATCGTGACACACACACACACACTGGTTGAATCCCCAGCTAGTTGCTAGAAGGTGGGCTGATTCGGAGAGACAGCGTCGTTGCGGCAGGCGACATTGATATTACCGTCTAGCATGAGTGATTTCTGTGCATACACCCCACGAAATCTCGGCATTGAAAATCAGAATAAGATTTTAGGTGGTGCCTTCTCTGTTGGGTAGGCTTCAACCTCAACGTGGGGCCACAAGTGTGCAGTGTGCCTCATAGCCCTTTTTGCCTCGTGCAGTCATGCGCGTCCTCTTTCCATGGGCTTCTGGCTTTCCTAACACCGCAGAATACTTGGCTTCCGGAATCCCTTCGGTTTGGTATCGCCACAGCGGGAATCCGGACTACTTGGCAACCTGTTCTTCCCACTTCACACTCTCTATCAATCAATGACCCAGCACAAGCACCTAAGCGGCTAAATACATTACGTAAGTCAAAGGATTTTCTTCACCTGCGAAAGGTCTGTTACCACTTAATAGCTTTGAGATGGTTGGAGGTCGTTCTTTTGCACCATGACTAAAGACGCCCTTTCGATCTGACAGCCATGGCTGCGAATGCAACCCGCGTGGTAGGGACCATTAATCGGCCTGCTGCAACTGCATTTTCTTGTCGTGTCCGGCCGAAGGAGCTGCTTCCCGACTGCGAGTTATTCCGGCAGGGTACCAAGCTCAGCGACGTTGAACAAGGCCTGAAGCGGTGGGGAAAAGCCCTGTGGAGCTTAGGCAGGGGGGGCGTACTCAGATTGTGTTGTTCGCTGTGGTGGAGTTGTGATGTTGAGGCATTGTTCTATGCCCCTCTTGCCACGAAGAAAGATGTTTCCAAGCTGCGCTTGGCTACAACCTGGAGCAATGCAGAACTGCTCATCGTGCACCAGACATCTCCCAAGCAAACACTCCTGAGATGCAAACCCCCTGACTCATGAGAGCCAACATTCCCGCCGCAACCTTATATACGATACACATCGTAGCACCCTTCTAGGTGTGTTCGCGTGTTCGGAATGTGGCGACGTCAAATTGACCAGGATGTTTTGGTCCGCACCACCACCGCTCCAGACTTCAGGAGCAGAAATACTCAACAGATAAACCAAAGCCAAGCAGCATGTGACCCATTCAGCTAGTTTATCAACCGAAAGGCCCGAGTCATCAACTGCTTCGTAGTTCAACCTTTGGCACCCTCAGAGGCTTTTCAAAGCGGAAAAAGCTTTTCAAACCCACCAGAGGTCCCGTGTGGCCAGCTGATGCATGACAGAACCCGAAAGCCCGGAGCCCTCAGCTTCTGAACCATTTCGACAGGATCTTGTGGGGACTGCTACTTCATGGGAGCCTTGAGTAGTGTGCAAAGCCGCCGCGAGGGCTTCTGCCGCCAGGCCAGGGCCAGACCTTTCCGCGAGTAAGAAGCGGATCCTTTTGAGCTCTTGTATTGAAACGTTGCTGTTAACAGCATCTCAAAGCTTTTTAGAGGGGTTGCAAGAAGGTGTGGGAATAGCCGAGCTTTGCAGGTTTAGGCTTTGGACTTTGGTGGTGTGTCGGAATTCCCTTCTGCTCAGAATTGTTTGGATGATGCCTGTGAAGGAGCCATGTCGTTAAACAGGGTCACGGGTGAGCAGTGGCGTGGTGCCGCGCTCGCGGGACGGTGACGTGCACTGTCAAGATACTGCTTTTGAGCTGTTTGGTAGCTGTGTCAATCCTGAAAGACAGCAGTTGCCGGTGTTCGTTCATGAGGTCCAGCGCCCTTATGCTTGGAGACCAGACCAAAACGTGCCGTCATTACAGGATTCAGATTTAAACTCGTTTTCAAAGGGACCCCAGAAGCTCACCCCGAATCAGACCCTTGAATTCTGAATGCCCGGCAGAGCCTTGCCCGGCCATGCACCCTGCACTCGCAACCCTGAGCACTTCGTGGCCTGGGACATGGATGTGGGTGTCTTCGGCGTGATGCTTTGTCTCGACCCTTGGCAGATTCTGGCTTCGAAGCAACTTCGGCGCCCTTAACGGGCGAAAAGCCACCAACTCTTTTCACATCTTCTCCCTATGCTTCTGGCTGCTTCGAGCGAGCGGACGCTTCCGGCAGACTCCTCCCAAGCTGATAGGAGCCGAGCACTCTGTTTCTAAACAGAAGGCCCCATTGCCACCAAGCCAGAAGCGCCAGCCGACTGGGCAAAGTTTTGAAGCCCAGCCCAGCAGTGAGTCTAAGCCTCAGGCCCTTTGTTTTGTAGCTCAGCATCACATTCCTAAAGCGTTGACCTTTCTCGAAGCTGCCAATGAAGCCCTCACCCCGATGAACCCCCAAGAAAAAGGCGCTGGAGATCCCCGCAGAGAAATCCCCGTAGCACAGAGGATGGTCATTTCACCTACGTGATCGTTGACGACATCATTGGCGAAAGCAGGAGCCATGAAGGACTGCCGGCGCTACTCTGCGCAAAGGCTTGTAGGAGAGTTCATGGTGTTGCTGCTGTTGCCCTTCGGTTTAAGGCCTGTTGGGGCGGCATCTTGTACTCTCTTGAACCCAGTTTGGTAGAACTTCGGTGACGCTCCAAATAGTTTCGCTCTTGAACACAGCCTCTTCCTATTCGACAGACAAAGTCTCGAACTTGGTATGCTGGAGACCGCCCAGGTACGGGAGAAGCACAGACAAAGACGAGCTCTGGGTGACGATTCTGGAGAAGGCGTATCTGGGCCGAGATCAGAACCTTCCACTTGCTTGCGCTGTCGCAGCAATGCGTATGGCATACCATGGAAAATCATGCTGACTACACCATATGATACTTGCATGCTCACGTTTCGTTTCACGTAAGTAACCACTAGTTAAGTTTGGTGCGCGAGTTCTTCTCCAGTTAGGGCGGAAATCGTCATAAGCGCCTGCACCAAAATCTGCTGCCGAGGTATTTCAAGTACACCTGTTGCATCGAGACTTGGCAGGTGGTCTTCAGGTCGCAGCAAAATCAGCGAAGCGCTTTTCCCTCTTGCATCTTCGGATGCGGTGCCAATGGTCAGGCTCAGGGCACGACGGCTACTACAGCACTACAGCTGCACACGAAGAAGTAGCAATTGCTTAGTCACCGCCCCTACAGCGGAGGAGATGTGTCACGGCGGATGGATGTCGGATGCGATTGCAGCATTGATGGGCGGTGTCTCCGGCAGATATGAAGCTCGGCTTTGCAGAGCCACTTCATGCACCCGACAATACTGATATCGATCAATTTCTTTTTGTTGACCCGCACTTTCCCGAACGCGTCTGTCTGTGTTTCCACTTCAAGAGGCCAGAAGGTTAGCATCCAAAGATCCGCGGCATTTTCCAAGTCTCAGTGGCCTTGGCCCGGCCTGCAAGCCGATGCTTACGATACCAGTATTCGTACTATCTATGTTAATATATCACCTTCGCTCCCTTCGCGACCTTCGCAGAAGACGTACCACATGCTTTGCAACTCGACGTTCTGGGGAAGGCTGAAGAGCACGGTGTAGAGCCAATGACCAAATGCACCATTTCAAAAGCGACAAGTTGATTTGTTTTCTGATCGCAGACAGGTGGCCGTAGTTCAAACCCCGACAGGTGGGGCAGTGGGGCCCCATTAGTAAACTTGATAGGTACATATTTTGTAGGGGTATCAAGCTGCGGCGATTCGTAATATGGCACTCGTCGAAGTCAACACAAGACGCAGTTGTATCCCATAGTACACCAACGTGAACTGCAAACAGTTGCAAACGTTTTGCGTTTTGAGGTTTACCGTTTCGGGCATGTGCCCCACACAGTCACACAGTTGCGCGACTTTCTGTTTTGTCTGTCCTTGCTTCGACATTGACGAAATGATTGTGAAAGATGTTCAAGAGCTTGCCAAGTCCCAAACCTGAGATCCCTAGAAAACTGTGCTACAGCGTCAAAGTATGTACTGAATGCGTCCAAAAAGGGTGCAAAAAACGCATCTTGCGTTCAAATTTTCTTATGGCCTCTAAAGATTCGAACAGCAGAAGATCCCAGGCACAGACACTTACGCGCACAGACGCGGCAAGCGCCCTCCAGAAAACAGGAGCTCATAATGATAGTAATAATAGTCGTAATCAGCATAGTAAGAATACTAATAATAGTAAGGATAGTAACAATATCTATTGTCTCTGCCGGTTGCCATCCCAGGATCCCGGCTGGAAGGACGCTGAGGATCCCGAGAATCGGTTCTTCAATCTCTTGGTTCAGACTCTGCAGCGCAGGGCCCCCGGCACTTGGAATGAGATGAGCCCCCACCAACCCCATGCCTTCAGACCGTCTTCAACCTGCAACCCCAAGCTTCTCCGAGCCTGACTCCACATGCTCGTGCTGTAATCTTCACGCACAGAACGTGGAACCTTTTGCTGCCTGGCTGCCTGACGGCGCCAAGGCAACCCACCAGAAACCCAGATACTCTTTGCGAATTTCTGGGTCAAAAGTCCGAAATCCTAAGCCGACGATCAGAGTCAGGTGGTGACATCCTGACGGGCGTCTTTGGCCCGCCTCTTCACGGTGGGGTGCGGGAGCGCTTGTTCTAAATGATTCGGGTTTGACTTCAGACGTTGGTTGACAGTCTTGGTTTTGAGGAAATCACAAGCTACTAAACTACTGCTACTCCTACTACTACTGCTACTACGACTTCTGTCACCACTACGCTGCTACTGCTACAACTACTACTACTACTACTACTACTACTACTACTACTGCTACTACTACTACTACTACTGCTACAAAGCAGCCTTGTTTTTGAAGCTCAATCTTCCAGGCTTCCCGGACCCTGTCCTCATAAAGGACTTCCAAGCTCCAGCCGCAAGCTCCCAAGCCGGGGGTGCCTGTTTTATCATTACAATATGAGATATTGTGTTATGATATATTGTGGTATGATCTGTTGTGTTGATGTTATGTTGTGTTCATGTTCGATTTTGTTACCTTACCTGTCAATTTTATATCATAGTATATCAGGTTGTATTTTGCATTTAAGTAATATAGTTATCATACAACCAGAATGTAGCCACATTAGAGTTGTATGATAAGTATAATATTATATGTTGTCATTTTATGACAAATATGTTATCTTATAACTATGTCAATATCTAAATTATGTTAATATGTATATACGTATACATATACATATATATATATAGCATAGTAGACTGTACTATACGAGATCTATGATCACTCCGCGTCGTCTGACAATTGGTGGGTCTATGGTCTTAGGGAAGCCCGCAAAATTTGTGAAACTCGAAACCCCTTGGAAGGCAAGTGGCACAAGATATCAGATGTGGTCCAAAACGACGACCCGGATGCTCAGATTCCCGTTTATGATGCTCGGCGAAAGTGCACGCACCTGCTCCACGACAGGGTCTGGCGACCATTTCAGAGTCGGTTATAGCTCTGACCACATCCTTTGCAATTGGGCTCTTGTCTGACGCAAATCTCTGAACCGCGATCAATCAGGCCTCATAGGCTGGGCAGCTCCATAAGGTCCAGAACCAACGTGAATGGCTTGGGCCAATGGGGCCGGGAATCTCGCAGTGTGGTCTGAGGGGGCTTCCAATAATATTGCAAGCGATCATACAGTACTTGTAAGACACCAACACCCTAAGCCAGCACAGCAAGGACGAGAAACTTGGACTCGTGTACAATCACGCCTACTCCCTTCTCAACACTGTCGAGGTGCTTGTGGCTGGACTGGGGCGGTAAGATTCGGGATTTGGCGTAGGGTTTGGGATTTTTCGGCTTGAAATTGATGAGCCGGGCTTCGACTGAACTTGACCGTTCTGACATACCCGAGTTTTTGCGACGGCTTTGTCTTTTGCTTTCAGTTCGGGACTTGTGAAATCTCGAATGCTAGGGGTTTGGTTGGGTGGCCGGGTGGATCGAAACGTTTAGCCCTTCCAGAGGTTTCCATATGAGCACATTTCATCCTGTAAGCTCCGAAAGACCGAGACCGCCAGATCCCCAAGCACATGTTGCCTGGCTGTGCAAGTTGCCTCAACTTTTGCTGGAGCTTGGAAGCTTTCATGAGGCAAAGCAGGTGGACCACCGTCGTCTCATATTGGCACACTACTTTCAATCAGAGTCAATTGGAGGCTCAGGGATTGCCACTCCCAACACATCCTTTGTGTATTTAGGGTGCATCTCTTCTAAGGGGCTTGGATGTATTGGCCTGGTTTGCTGAGCTTGTAGCTTTGATAGATCGATGTAGGGCTTGGTTCTACATAGGCTCATGTGCGTTGGCCTTGAAGAACCGGTGGAATCTAGTAGCAGTAGTAGTAGTAGTAGTAGTAGTAGTAGTAGTAGCTGCCGTCCTCGTCGTAGTCGTAGTGGTAGTGGTAGTGGTGCTGGTAGTGGTAGTAGTGCTGGTAGTGATAGTGGTAGTGGTAGTAGTAGTAGTAGTAGTAGTAGTAGTAGTAGTAGTAGTGGTAGTAGTGGTAGTAGTAGTAGTAGCAGTAGTAGCAGTAGTGGTAGTAGTAGTAGTGGCAGAAGGAGTAGCAGCAGTTGTAGTAGTAGTAGTTGTAGTAGTAGCAGAAATAGCGGAACTCGATAGCAAGCCTCAGGAACGGCAAGAAGACCCCGGCATAAGATTTCAGGAATGCCGGGTTTTGGCGGCGGCTTCTAGTATTTTATGTTAGACCGCACCTTGATCATGGTATATGAGAATAGCTTGGATCCACGGTGGACAGGCGCATGGCTACCAACTCCTTTGTTGTCGCAATCCCTGGGCGCACAAGGCTACTTGTCCTGTGCCAGTATTTTGGGATCTGGGAAATGCTTCATGCAGTACCTCCTCACAGACTATTGACTTTCATGTCTAGCTTTTCATCATGCACAGAGTCAGCTGTAGTTCATTGCAGTTCCCAAGCAGGTTATGTGCTGTAGCGAGGCCACCCTGTTGCCGGGTCCTGCTTGTTCCGTCTTTGTGGCTGGTCCACTCTGGTGCTAGACGGCTCTTGTTCCGTCTCGACTCTCCTAAAGAACCTGTGACCAACCCCATCGTTTTCCCTGCGTTTGCACAGCAGCTGAATCTTCCTTCATAGTCTCCTCGCCGTCTTCTCTGTTGATGCGCCTTGGCTTCCCACGAGCAGATCCTTTGATCTGTGGCCCTCACCGGATTGTTGATCAGTGTGGGGAGGTGTATAGGCGTCCAAGATCATAGCAGGGATTTCGCCACATCAAATCCTCAGCCTCCGCGTGTGTCTTTGAGGGTCCTCAAAGCAAAGAAATCCGAAGCCGCACTTCACAGGGCTCTAGACCCTCAGACCCCTGCGCCGAGCTATATATGTTCGATTACGGTATACTACAATATAACCCCATATTAGAAAATGCAATGGAATCTAATGCAACCTAATCCTCGCGGAAGGGGGCCCTCCGAAGCCATCTCTCATTGTCATAGCGCTTCGAGGAGTGGAAAGGACCCTTCGGAGACGACTCCGACGAGTGGACACACGACATGAAAGAGGCACAGAGCGGCAGATGCGGGAAGCGAAAAGGACCTTCTTTTGAGGTTTCTACTTCATGGTGACTGTAGGCTTGAGGCTTTTGGGGAGTCGGCGTCGTTGAAAGCTTGGCGCGTGAGGTGGTTCATTATGCCATGGCTTTATGACTTTACGCTTTATATGCTTTGGAGTTGGGCAACCTGTCGTTGAGCACAATCGCTTGTTGGAGACGTTTCCGGGAAATGCTAGACTCAGCTTGTTTGCTGGCGGCCAGTTTCAGAGTTTCGGATGTACCTATGATGCGCTGCCAAGCTGAGTTTTGGTTGATGACATCTCACGGCTCAAAGCAACAAGCCAACAAAAGCAACAACAGGCAGCAGAAAACAACGAGAATACTCGTTGGGAAAGAAACTCAGGCTCTCGGCGAAATTGACACATGGCAAAGCCAGAGACTTCGTCTGAGAACGGGGGGACTTCCGAAAAAGCCCCTTTTCCTTCGAGTTATTCTAGTTACACTTTGTCTTTGCACCATCCGGGCCCGGCACAGTCGCGAGGTATGCAAGTTTGAGCAGAAGGACAACGGCCTTTTCTGGATGACCAATCAGGATGCCCGAACCTTCATTCATTGTTTGGATTTCAGAGTCGTTGCGTTAAGGGTCCGGCGTTGGATGCTTCCTGTCCAGATCGCTAAGTTGTTCATCAGTTGCGCATTCTCACGGGATCGGTGTGCTACAGTTGCAATACATAGCAGCACACTACACTAAAGTACGCTACGTCACAGTGCACTGCACCGTACTACAGGAAACGACTTTAGTATGCTACACTGCTACCTGCACCTACGCGTATGCTACAAACACACAAACACACAAAGCGCTTTAGAGCCTGGGGGAATCAGTGAATCAGTCGGGCTGAATGTGCCAATAGCACTCTCCGGTCCAAAGTTTTTCTCTCCTCGGCTCAGAGGCCGTGCTCAATGCACTTACTAAGGTCGAGACTTTGTAGCGTTCTCGCAGTCTTTGGCGCATGTTCTATCCTTATGTTCTCTGTCTCTAAGGACACCCATTACTTTTGAGCCAGACTTGTACAGATTAGCCGAGACATGTGAAGTTTCTTCCACAACTCTAAGGATTACCAACAAAGCGCCATGGGCCTTAGCCCAACGAGGTTACATGACCGGTCTCGCCAGGACTTTGTCCAGATTGCCCGGAAGGTCACGTGGAGTAAAACCTTCGGACCGAGCTGGCAGAGCCTTGAGCACAAGCTGCGTGGGAACGATGTCTGGTGCTCACCCCCACACACTCACACACAACCAGACACAGACACGCAGACAGACACAAACCTACACGCATCTAAAAACCCACGTGTGTAAGGAAGAGATGCTCATGTAGGATTATCCGGTCTTCTCATTGCTGTCATCGTTTGCCATCGTTTGCGGCAGCGTAAATGTTCCCCTCCAGTTCAAGAGACATGTAGGATCTCGTACCCGCCATAATCTCCGAGAGAAGTCGCAAAGGATGTATTTTGCAATGCATTGTTGAGGCATCGAGGCCAGGAGTGTTTATCCTCATCTAGGGACCTACATGTTGATTCAGCTTTGCGATTGCTCAGGATCAGGCACCAGCAGGTAGGCCCACAACCGTCAGTGCTACTGTCGTTATCATGTCGACTCAGCAGTCTGCTTTCGAGTGTTATCCGTGATTTCTTACTCATCCCCTTAGACGCTTGAGGACTAAGCAATCGAGAGCCCCAAGCGGTGAGAAGTCATCGCATATTCGCAGAAGTTGAAAGTCTCCAGCTGTGAACTGGATTTTTGTTGCTTCTACCGCTGTGCCTTGCAGCTCCACGAGGGATTCTGCTGAAGCCTGCTCTGAGCATCAAGCACCCTGTTCTCCTCTGCGGGCCTCATCCTTGAAGCTCCTGAAGCCTTTTATCAGTTTTGAAGCGTTCAGAGCAGATTAGAGCCTATGCGCCGCCCAGGACCGTGCGATGCTATCGCCGCTTCAGCGACGCGCCAATTGAAGCGCGCGCGAAGAAAGACAAACAAGCACATTTCGACGTCGCTGGGCAGAGCGGAGGAGGTAAAGGAGTTTCGTGTAGCGTAGATGATAGAACACACCTGTGGCTCAGAGTTCAAATTTGGACTTCCTTGAACCGACGCCTGTTGCATTGATAGCATACCATGATGTTCGCTGTTGCATACATGATATTGCTCTTTCACTTCATTGTGCACTGCAGGGCTCGGGGTTCGGTTGACGCGCTGAGCGAACAGACGGCCGCGAATACCGTGTTCTTTTGATTTTGTGCAGTCTCGAGTCGAGGAACAGCTTCCTGCTGAGTTTTTCAGATGGGCCTTCCCTTGAGCAGTATGGCAAAGAACACATTTCCGAAACCTGTGACCGAGCACTGAAGCGTTGCACTGAAACCCTGAACAAGAGGCCAAGTCTGCACGGCAGCTTTCGAAGTGCCGTGTGGCTCAGGACTGTAGGACTTCTTAGAGATGAGTCGTCTAGCCCAGAGAGATGTAGGTATCTAGACTCACCTAACAGTACAGGTTGCCACGCACTGCACGCCCTCCACTCAGTCACGAGTCTGTAGCTACGATATGATGTCCTTGTCGCATGGGGACAAAACTGTCAGTCTGCTCTCCTGATACACAACTCCAGCTCCTGAATTCTAAGCATCCGTGGCATACCACATACTGTCCGTACACCGTAGCAGTAGATACTCTGGTATACAGAAGTCACCACCCCAGGTGGATCTGAGCTTCTCCAAGGGTGACAAGATCGAAGGGGTCGAGCTGAGAGGCAAGAGGACTTATCGCAGACTTATTTGAGCGATATTGATAGTGCAGATGATCTAGTACTGAGGAACTACAGTTGGGGATGTTTGGAGGGCCGTGTGTCTTGGAGAGGGGCTCAAGTCAAGGGCTTGTGTTGTTCTGAAAACGGTTATTCAAGCGACTTTGGGTTTGCCAAAGGTTTCTCCCGGCACTTTGCTGCTCGTTGTAAGGGTGATGGATGTTTGCACCCTTCTTAGACTTACACCCGGGGGGTATCGCTACATAGCTCAACTCAATCTCACAAGGATTGGCCGTCAGTGTTTCCTCGGTGCTTTGACGACCCGAGATCAGCGCATGACAAAAAAGCAATCTTGTGTCTTTGGTGGTAGCTTGTTGGTAGGTTTCGGTTCTTCAAACCGAAACGCCAGCCCTCTAACCCGCTACCTCTGCAGCATGCCAGGTTACTTTTCCATGGGCACTCACGTGAAGTCGGGGAAGTATGGACGGGTGGCAAGCGACAACATCAGCTTCAAGGTCGACAGCGTCTTCAGGCGTGGTGTATCCGTGTCTTTAGTCGAGCTGCAGTTTTCGGTCTGGCGGGACAGCCATGAGTGGAAGAAAGAGTACGTCTCGGGCACGCAGGGACGAAGATTCAAGACTCGATTGCGTGTGTCTGTGCTTTTCCAGCAAGGCAAGATAAAGTGTGTTTGGGCCCCTCGTGTCGGAAGCTTCGCCTTGACATACAAGTGATGATTTTCTCCAATCTGGCCGTCTCCGCGTGCGCAAGTTCGGCTCATTTTGTAGTCCTATGGTAATGCGAGGGTCGCCAGGAAGTGGAACGGTTCACAGAGTTTGTTGAGTTCGCTGGGTGAGCCACGTGAGCACCATCAAGCCAGGCCGTCCAGAAACCTTGGTTTAACCAGAACCTATATAACCGAAAAATGGATTTGTGCCCAGAGCTCTTATGTCTCAGCGCTTCTATTTCTTTTTGGTTCCTTCCACATGGATGTGTCAGCGACCAGTTTTTGGCGAGTTTTCCTTCAACAAACTCTCGGTCGGTTAGCCCTCAACATCCTAGCTCCTCGCCCCCGCTCCTCTAGATCTTTAGACCCTACAGCCCTAAGTTAGGGCCTCCTGCTGTCCTAAGAACATGGCGGGGGCTTCCTTGCCTCCTCAAAGACAGGTTTGAGTTCTCGGTGGAAGACATCGCCGAGGATGCACCCCTCATTCTCTGCTTGATGCTGGAGCTGCATATGTCAAGCTTACCACTTACTGTAAGCTACGCCTTAAGCCCAGAACTTTGTTTCCGTCAGGCATATAGTTCGTTGTAGTATGATACGTGCTTGTTTGAACGGCATGCTGTAATTAGCATAATATGATGCGCAGTGCCCTGCAACTTACTTTGACTCTGTTCCAGAATTCGGAAGGGTTTTTGCTGCCTGCTAACACATGCCAACACTTCCCGAACCACCACCCTTGCAATTTGGCATTACGATGCCCATCTCACACAGACACT